TTGGGATTTTTTTTAAGTTCACTTGTCACTTTTTAACATGGCTGTAAAATTGTCTTTTACTAGGGAAGAAGCTAGGAAGTATTTGTGTTACGTATCATTGCAGTGGGATTCTGCATTTCCAGAATACCCAATTAGGCATGTACAGCATGCCTAAACTGCATAAACATTTATTTTAGATGGAATTTAGCTTAGCTACTTCAAGAAGTTTGAGTTTTATACCACCTCTAAAAATTACGGTTGGATTTGCAGACAAGACTGATGCTCTGTTCTCTTAAAACAGTGTTTTATTTTCATTCTGGGTGTTGAGAAGAGTTTTTAAAATGTCTAAACCTTTACTCCTGGTACCAGAAACAGAAATATTATTGAGGATATGGTATCCTGATATTGTATACTAGGGCTCTTCGAAACAAGAATTTAGGGTGGAGTTTTGGGGTTTGATATTTCTTTGGCAGCTTTTATCTTGCTGTAAAGAGGAGCATGGAAAAAATGTACAGTTGCTGTTGTACATTCCTGAAGTTTTAGCACATGATTTTGTCAGAAATATAATAAACATGAAAACAAGTTTCCTTTTTCCCAGCACTGCCTTTCAGCAGCATTAGCTTTTGCCACAAAACCTGCAGATAATATACTGTAAAATTTTGCCACATGTACAAATCATTCATCAGTGCGCACTTGCTTGGAGCGTGACTGATGCTGATGGAATGTAGATAGGCTACTTAGCAGAGTTTCCAAGCTACAGAATAGGTTATCCATCTCTACTGGTTTCAAAAAATTTTCTTGTCTCCAGCAGCTTGATAAATATTTTCCTGAACTTCCAAGAATTGTTAATTACTGGGTTTAAATGAGTAACATAATTCCATAAACAGTATGTGTGATGGGAGCTTTGGTCTTGAGATAGCATGAGATCATCAGAAACAAGGTTTGGTTGCTTCTTTGCTATTTTTTAATCTACTGTTAACATTAATATTAAATGTTGATAAATATTTAAGAATTTTAAACAGATTAGGGGAAAATTGCCTGAGAGGAAGTATGCCAACAGGAGGACTCTAAGCGTTACATTTGTTAAATGCATTTACAGAATGGGACTTGGAAGTTTTACTTAGCATAAAATTTGATAAACCCAGATCTTCATATTAAGCTGTTGATGTTATTGGTGCTTGCATTAGTAAACAGAAGTGCACCTTGTAATCCTTAGATATTTTTTAGATGTATTGGGTGCATGTAACTTTCATTATAGTGTTCGTTATGTATGTTAATCTCCAGGGCAGATTTCAGAGCTGGATGATAAGTTTGTTTTGCTTAAACCTGATGTAGTACAGATAATGTCTTCTCAGCTCTGTTCTGAAGTCAGCTCCCACCACTACCCTTCCAAAAATACCTTACTTGTCATCCTGTCCTTCCCACTAGGGAAACATAAACCAGTTCAGGGTGTGGAAGAGACCGAAGGGTCTCTGACTTGATGTCCTTTGCAACTCATTTGTCCTGCCTCCCTCTGCGGAGGCTCTCTGCCCTTCAGAAGCAAGCACTGCAGCATTAAGATTGATGTGTCTTCTAGCACAGCTCAAAAAAAGTCGAGTCCTCCACTTGGTGAGTTGTGTAAAAAAACTGGGTTTGGCGCGCATTTATCAGAAGGGAATTTCCCATTCATAATTGAGGAGAGTTTTGCTTGTCAGCATGGAGACACATCTGATGCCTTCGGGTGCCGTGCCTTTACGGGGATTTAGGAGTTGGGCTCCTCTTCTACCTGCTAGAGACAACCCGCTTCAAGGAGACTCTGCAGACGGGCTGACCTTTTAACAGTATTCCTTGTCGTAGTGGGAATGTCAGCCAGGAAAAACTGGTTTGATGCCTCCTGGATGTCACTGTTATCAGTTTAATAGCTGAAAGAGGCTGTCTTGAGCAGCCACGTCATATTTATGGCTGCCTCACTCAGCTGTTGCAGAAGAGAAAGCCCTTTAAAGTAGGGCACTGAGCGGGGAGCTGCTGTGCTGCCGCGCAGGCCTCCTGCACAGGCCGGCAGCCACAGTGGCTGTGCCTGGCTGGGTGGGGGTCCTAGCACATGCAGGGCTTTCAGAGGGAACAAGCTGGTCACCCCAATACATTGCTTCCCAACATAAAAGCAAATTTCATCTTTCTTTATCAACTTCTTTATTTGCAACCTTCGTATTTTGCATCTCATGGACTTCAGGTTAATCTTAGTAAATTTTCTCCTTTGCTTTTAAATTTTGTTTGTAGTAACACAGCATAAAAATTATGATTAGGTCATTAACCAGAAAAAAACCTGGTGCTCATCTGCAGGTGATCAGATGACATCAGAGGCCTGGTTTTAATTTGTGGGTAGTTCTGATTGTAACTAAAAGAGACTTGCTCCTTTTGTGGAATTGGCTGGCTGTTTCCCCACATCTGGAGTTAATGAAGTCTTTGAGACCACATCAGTGGTGTTTTGCCGCAAGAACCCTTTGATCTGAAAAATCTAGACTGGCACAAGTGCAGCTTCATAACATTGCAGCTATGTTTTTGCAAGCTATAGTTAAGATACCAAAACAAATATATAAAGTTATGTGTCTGTGCTAGGACTTTCATGTAGCTGTTTGGAAGGGCCTCTTTTACGTTAATATAATTCATAACACTTTTATTATGTTAATGGCTTGTGCGTACATATCTGTAAATGATACATTTGAGGTTTTTCGGTTTAATTTCCCTTTTGGGATAGTATTTAATCAGTTTTTATAAATCACAGGATTTAGGAGAAATGTTAGAATTTCATTCTGAAGCTTGTATTTACAAATCTCGTTGATAACGTTACAGTTTAAAGTAAGTATAATTCACCATTGTGTGTGATTTTGCATTAATCAGTGTACATCTCCATGGCGGTGCTAAATGTCATAAAGCTTTGTTTCCACTGCTGTCCTGTGACAGTGATAGATTATCCATCAGCTATAGCATATGCTGCGTTATTCCGCACAACAGAGAACTTGTAAATTAAGCCCAGTTTTGCCTAATATGTTTGCAGTCTTAAGAGTGTGAGTATTTACAATTTGACAGAGTGACATTCTGTTAAAATATGTCTGAAGCATGGAATATACGTGCATTCATCATATATAGTAAATACATATGTATTGTTAATATTACATGCAATGTATTGTCATTCTGTCATTACTCAGGTTTGGTAAGCTATCTTTATTTTACATTTAGACCATAAATGAAAATTTGCAAGTGATTAAATGAAAACCCGCTGAAAGACTTTATTTCCTAAGATTTTTCTCATTTATTTCGATTCAGAAAAAACCAGTAATGTTAAAACAAAGAGGCAGCTAAAAGTTGTAAAAGTTGGGCGTGAGTCCTTTTTGCCAGCTGTCCTTTTGCCGGCTGCTGCCCTTGCGCCGCTCCTGCCCTCGGTTCCTCGGGCCCTTGCCCTCCGCCCGTCCTACGGTGTAGTTAGTTTGATTTTATTGAAATTCTGCCGATGTAAAACGACTCTAAGAGAGTGGTAAATCAGCCCCTCTGCTATAAAAGGGTGTTGTCTGCAGGCACATGCCCAGCCATTTGGTCTGACAAGGGCCGGCTGGGAGAGCCTTTGGCAGTGGGGAGGAGGGGTATTGGGATGCAAATGGGGCCGGACTTGCCCACTTCACTTTCTAAATACCCGTATCGGAGCAGTCACCCTCCGGGGGAACAATGGTTCTCTTTTAGGGAGCTGACGCTTTTTTTGTTGGCCGGCTGGGTTTTCCTGGCCCTTCTCTTGCTTGGTAAACAACACCCCAGAAAGAGAAGGGAGAGAGACATGAATGTTGTAGAAACAGTCGTGCGCCCCTATTTGCATAGGAAGGGGTAACAATACTCCCTTTTCAGTTTTAGGGCATAGTGCGTGTTCTGAGTTCCAGTATCTGACCTTTAAAGCTTTTAAATTATCCTTAACATACACATTTATGAAGCCTTATGTATTTACAAGTAAGGTGAATGATTAAAAAATAAAAATAGCAAAAAGATGCTCTGATTTCAATGTTAACATTTCAATATTCTTTGCTGCCGCATTTGTTAGTCTGCTGCTTTTTTTCTTTTAATATTTTTCTTTTAACATACAGCAGTCATAATGCAATATTTATTATATTGACCAAAGTACTGGTATGAAAAAATAGCAATGCTTAGGCCAGTTAACGTTATACGTAGGGTCCTTGAGTCTGTGAGTGCTGGCTTTGTTGGTTTGACTGACTTACTCCCGAGTATGCTTTATCGTAATTCTTCGAGTTACTGCAGTGAAAGACTTCTAATCGTTGTATTTATTTGACATCTTACAATTTTTAACTTAAGAAAATTAATTGTTTGCTAGTTGAGAAGAGTCGTTCCAGTGTTGTCACTGAAAGCAAACAGCGTGGTGCTACACTGAAAAAAAGAGTCATGTCGGTTTTCTTTAATGCTAGGCCAGTGTGAAAATAATTTGCTTGATGTCGCAATTCTAAGAAGATTTCTCAGGACTTGTGTTACATATACTTTTGATGACACTACGAAGGCATCCACGTTTCTGAATGGGTGATACAGTGGTTGCTTTAAAATCTTTCCATTTGTTACTGGATGTTCTTTTCCTTTCTGATTGTTGGTATGCCAGCTAATTAAATATTCAAACAGACATACAGTTGTTGTAAAATAAAAGTTGTTTGGGGCCCAGTTGTTTTATCTTGGTTTTTTTTTATCTTGAGCAACAAGTCTGTGCGAGTCATGCACTTAGAAAGCAAAATCAGCATTCAGGCTTTTATCAGGCCACCTGGCTGAGTTGGCACACCAGAAAGTGTGTTGTTAGGATCATTCTACTGTAGTTCCTCTGTACTGTGGCAACTTGCTAAAAAGCAAATAAAACAAGGGCAACAAATGCTGCAGCTTGCTACACTGTTCTTTTTTATTTGTACTTTTTATCTGTGTCTGTATGCTCATAAGGGCTTTTTAATGCATGACACCCAAACTTTGCTAACTTGCTTTTATTGTTCTCCAATATTTAGGTGTATGCACCATCTCCGAGTTCTGATGATTTCAACAGAGAATCTCCAAGTTACCCGTCTCCTAAGCCACCAAGCAGTATGTTTGCTAGCACTTTCTTTATGCAAGGTGGGTAAAATGACTTTATATGGATAGATGTCACTTGTCCTTTAGGTAGAAACCTGCAGCCAGCAGCTGTTGTACTGAATGAATGTAACATAAATGTAACATGTGGGCTAGAACCTGCGGTTAGGTTTTATATACTTTTAGAACAGTTAGATGAAGGGAGCTGTCTGTTGATTTAAAGTTTTTCTCATGACGTTAATTGCTGACTGAAATTTAAGGGGATTATACACTAGGCCAGATGGACAGAATCCCCCATCCTTTGATTTGTAGGGGCTTCAGAGCAGCACACTGGAGTGATAGAGAAAAATGAGGTGAGGCCTTCTTGACTGTGCTGGAATTCAACTGTGCAATATCAGCTAACAGTCTTAAGTTCTCAAATGCTTGTATATCCAGCATACCAAGAAAAGAAGGGGTTTGCGTTGAACGAAACGAGACCAGAATTCATTTCCTCAGCCTCACATCATACAATTAGCTTGTACTGTTGTCCGATGAGGTTTTGGAGCATATTGAAAGCATAGGCTGTCGATATGGGATTTACAGAGCACTTCAGCTTGTGCTGCAGAAGGAGAACTGCACTGACATGCAGGTTTAAGGCTTATGTAATGTAGTCATTTAAGTTACTTAAATCCGCTGTTATGACGAGGTTTTAATTTTTTATGGTACTAAGGTATTTTAGACCTTGCTTTTTTTAGGTTAATAGATGTTTTGCACTCTGTGTTTATGATGAGTTCTGCTTAGTCAAAATTCTCTTACCTCCACCCCCTTTATTATTATTTCTTTCACTCTGGAATTTTTATCAGCCCTCTTGATATAAATCTGGCCTTACTGAAGGTCTGTGTAATTAGCAGAAGTACTTGGTATTTTCTCAGCTGTGGTTGGATTGTATTTCAGCTATAAAGCCTCTGTTGTTTTTTTGGGTTTTTTTATAAATATAGCTACAGTGTGGTGGCATGGAAATAGAAGATGCAGTGTAAACTGCTCGCCATTTCCCTGCTGATGCTAGTCTGAGTAGCTAAATTCTGTATTCTTTGAAAAATAATTTTGTAAAGGAAACTAGAATTCAGTACTCTTCTTCATTAAATGTGTTTTTCTGTTTTTCTTTTTTATTTAAAAAAATAATAAAAAAAGATGGGACCCACAATTCTTCTGACCTCTGGAGTTCATCCAATGGCATGAGCCAGCCCGGCTACGGCGGGATGCTGGGAGGCTCCTCTTCCCACATGTCCCAGTCCAGCAGTTATGGTGGCCTGCATACACATGACCGTTTGGTAAGATACGCAACGCAGGTGAATGTTTTTGTACTTGTCTATGGAGATCTGATTTACAAGAATTCAATTCTCCTTTGCCACTCGGGTATGTCATTTAAAAAACCAGTTGTCAGAAAATCACAAACTTACTGTGTTCATTTCCTTTCATTTATGTCTGTTGTATAAATAAAAACCTGTGGCTGTATAGGGGTCTGTTCAGAGGATGGATGGGTTCCTTTCTTTATTAAAGAGCTGAATGTTTTATATTTGGTATCTGAAAATATCGTTTATTTAAAGACTACTTAATGTCTTATGTCTGTTTCTTTTCTCTCTAGAGCTATCCCCCGCATTCAGTCTCACCTACGGATATAAATGCCAGTCTTCCTCCAATGTCTAGCTTCCATCGTGGCAGTACCAGCAGTTCTCCTTATGTAGCTGCCTCACACACTCCACCTGTCAATGGATCAGATAATATTCTGGGTAAAAAGTTCTTCCTGTTTTGTTTTGGTTTTGTTTTGTTTTGTTTTGTTTTTTAATTTTACAAGAAAATGAAATTCAGAGCTGCATGACACACAAAATTAGTAAGATTTAATTTATGGGAAGCTTGTAGATCAGGGATATCGCTCTGCTGTGACATTTCTGTCCTCAGCACAGCTGAGATGAGGCAAAATGTTTTGCAGTCAGCTTAAGACTTCCTGGTTTACTTGCCTTCACAGCTACACCTGTGCTCAGGAGGTTGTATCCATCTAACTTAATGGCAATTCTACTTCTGCGCTTTAGTATGTGTACACACTCATACAGGTAGTTCTGGTGTTAAGAGTTTTCAGAGCTGCTGTATTACCAGCGTACTGTGCCAGAGAGAGGCAGAAAGACTATTTCTTAGGGGAGCTTGATAAACTGCCTCGTAAATTCCTCTCGTAACTGATTTAGAGATTACTGAGCAGCCGCTATGGTGGCTGGTTTAGTCTCTTCTGAGCTTACCTAGGACGTGTGAAATGCAGGATAATCGTCAGTTCCTTGCATGTATTTGCACATCTTAAGTTACAATTTGTAGGTGACCCTTGTCAGTTCAATGTGATCCAAACTTCATTTTAAGTAAGTGGAATTCAGTTAGTTTTACTGTATTGGCTTTGATTTGGAAACTGAGATTTTTAAGCAGAACCCAGTTCATGAATCTGCATGGGAAATGGAGGCTGGAAAAATCCAAGTTTGCCAGAAACTTGAAACAGCAAGTGTTACATGATTTGGATTTCTGATCAGAATGGCTTATATGCACACTAAATATTTTCCCTTTGGCATTAGATGTTGATAATTGGAGAAGGGAGATTCAGTTCTAACGGGCTCTCTCTCACTTCTACAGTAAAGCTGGTATTTCAGAGGATTCAGATCCTTTCTGTGTTTCCAATTGGCAGGACTTCAGACCTGCTCTTGGCTTGATGGTGTGTGGAGCAAAAGGGCACACAAAGCTGCTGACGTGCAGCTAAGAGCAGGGGTGACAAAAAGCTTGGTGGATAAGAGCTTTTCGGGGATTTTCTAGAATAAAGATGAGAGCACAGAACAGGGAATTAGAGCAGGGGAGAGCAAAGAGACACACAAGGAACTATTCAGTGAATTTGGCTTTAAGAATTAATGAAACGTGCAGCACTTCAAGGATAACAGTTCAGAAATGAGCCTCAATAATAAAATATTTTGATTTTCTTTTCTCGTTTCATTTAAAATTAGTGTGTGATCTTAGGAAATAATTCAGTCTTTTATCTAACTGCTTTCACTTGTTGGTCCCTTAAGTTATGACAGTGTTACTGTGTTTGAGTTTAAAGAGGAGAGCATCTAAATTTAAATCTAATTGTTTTAATTAAATTTTTTAGTATAATGAGAACTGATTCTGTTGACACTGACTTCCTCAGAATATCCATTTAAAAAGTGGTTGCTCAGTTGTACATGATGAGTAAAATAATAAAAGTAACTAGAATTTCAGCTTTAAAAATAAGTGTTGGTTTGCTTTCCACATTACAGGAAACAGAGGAAATGGTGCTGGAAGCTCACAGACAGGTGATGCACTTGGAAAGGCATTGGCATCTGTAAGTAGCACTTAGAATATTCAGATCTGAAAGACGTGTTTTGATCTTGACATCCATTATTTATGTGTTCATTCATTTTATAATATCAAATCAGTTGTTTTCATATGTCAAGTTAAGATAATGTACAATGCTACTATGTCATATACTAGACAAATGCATATAGAAAAGCAAGTGGAAAATGCTGTTATTTGTAGAAGACTCATTCTGACTTTTTTCAAATGATCAGAAAAACAAGGGCAGATAACAGTTCAGGGAGGTGTTTAGAGTACGGTTTGACTTTTTTCTGGTAATGTTCTAGTTAAAGTCAAATATTTTTAACATTACTCTTAGAACAGATCCTGCCTCAAGGTTTAAAATGTTTTCTCAGTGGCCTTATAAAACTAAGAGGTTATGAATGCTGCGTTGTATAGCTATAATTTATGGAACAGCCTTTAAAATTCTGTATATGCATGAAGTTTTAGCTCTTGTTGGAATAATACAGATAATGTAAAACATTGCAAGTATCTTCAGTCTACTGTAAGCTCTGTTTGCATATGCACGCATGCAGCAATTATTTTTGCATTAATACAATCAGATGTACTTTTTATGAAACAGTAATTGGTACAGTAGAGCAGAAATTTTGATGTCAGGAGCACTTTGTATTTCTTGTACGTAGCAAATAGGGAAGCTCAGTCTGATTTAAGAGATAGAAATGACTACTTTGCAGCCCTGAAAGATGGTTCCTGGGTTGGATTCTGCAACCCTCACCTCATACCAGTGAATGCGAATGTGCATATTCGTGCAGATCCTGTTAGCCTTGCATCCCTCAGAGGGTCATATGTTAAAAGATTACCAGATCTGATAATGCCTCTAATGTCCATATTGGGTAGGAGAACTCTGACCCGCCTGCCTTTGAGGAGAAAAATGTTGTCCCTGCTGCTTTGGGGGATTCAGCAAGGAGATAACAATTCACAAGTCCAGAGGGCAGTTGAACACTCTCTTTTTGTCTGCTTGAGACCTATCAGAGGAGACCTGGGATCCTTTTGACTCCTAGAAGTAGTGATGCTTGCATACTTCAGGCTCGTCATGGCTGTGCTGTGCGTGTATTAGGATGTCTGCTCTCGGCAGCCTGAGCAAAATTTCTGTTGTAAATTGGACGCGCTGGCCAGTAGACCTGCAGGACTTCATGACGTTTTCCACTGCTTTCCCTTTTTAAATTACTGTCTCGTCCTTTCAGGTATTTTTGCCCAAGTAACTAGCTGAAAAAAAACAGGCTGATGTTTTGAGGAAAAACTCTAAATATATTGTGAGTGGAAGTGAGGGCAGAAATGTTTAATCTTAACTGGTGGGTGGGCTCTGGTTGTCATAGAAACTTGTTTCTGTCATCCCATGTTGTTGCTTGGCAGGAGCAGCCAGGTCATTCCATAAATCATTTCTGTCATAGCTGATGGTGATGCATTCCATCTGCTCTATCAGTGCATGCCATAGTCTGCACACTTCAAATCCCTCGCCTCATCCATCTGCTTCCCCCGCACCCTGCAACACGCGCGCACCCTGCACGCTTCGTGTGCTCTCTCGACGAGGAGCACCACGCGCAGCCGTGGAGGGAAGTGGTCTCTCCTGAAGGTGAAGCTGGCACACATGAATTTTCATGGCTGGTAAACCGAGGATATTTTTCCATTTGAACAAAGTTTTAATTACATACTGCGATTGTCTTGACTTTTCTTTTTTTCCTCAACTAAGATGATGCTATATGCCTTTCTCTTAGGATTTTAAATGCTACTGCTCCAACTGTTGAGAGGAATTTCTGTTCTAAGATTCTGTTGATGTACATCTCACAATAGGCCTTTCATGTGCGAAACATCAGAGGATACGACATTTGTTCTTCAGTTTAGGTATTAAAGACCGTACAGAATAGTATGTGATTAAACATGTAAGGCCAGATAATACATTTGCAAAGGTTCTTTTATTTTAGGTTTAAGCCTGGATAATTGTGGTCTTAATCTCAGGGTAGGCAAGAAAGAGAATTGTACATGAAAGTATTTACACAAAGTTCCCAAAGCCCTGTGGATTATGCATTAGTTTGGATAATGAACTAGTATAGATAGAAGGAAAAGAAAATCTGGGTATTCGTGCCATTTCTAATGTGTTTCCCTGAACGTTTGCCAAACAATAACCCTTTAAGATTGTGCCCATGGAGGGTTATATGGCAGGAGAAACATCTGGTTTATTTCATTGCCTAATGCCAAATCAAAACACTTGGTCTTTAATTTAGAGGAGATCAAACAGGAGGACTGTTTAACTTCGTTGATTATATCAGACCTCTTTGTGATAACTTATGTTTTGATTCCTACCTCGGAACTAGGGTAAAGGCCTTTGTATGGTCTCTTTACGGTCTTGGTAGTTAAATAGCCACTGGTCCCCTCACAAAAGAAAAGAAAATGTAGGGAAGTTGACTTCTGAAAGTAATTCATGAATTAAGTTTCTTTGTTGCTTTAGACTCAATAACATTAGCATAACAAAGCCTAACTGAAATGTACACTGTAGTGTTTAAAAAATTGGACTAACAGCTCTGAGGTTTGGCTCTGCAGGCTCTCAATTGTGCAGCTTTTGTCTAAGAGCCTTTTCATTAGACCCTGGCATATTGGCACCCCGCTGACTGGAATGGACCATGACTGATAGGAGGAGGAGTCTCATTTGTTGCAGTAAAATGAGTCATGTTACCGTTTAAGCCTGGCAGAAGGTGTCAGGGTTGTTCATCATTGGTCATTTAACAGCGCAGCGGCCAAGGGCTGCATGCAGAATGAGGTCTGACCTCATGCTTTGGTTCTGGCCTTGGTGTAATGTAGGTTTTCCTCCTTAAAAAACACAGCAAAATAAAACTGGCAGGTAGAGCGCTGGGGAAAAAAAGTTTCAAAGGAAACTTCACGGCCTTTGTTTGGACACCCTTTTAATTTTCTGTATTTTATCTGTCTGGAACTCTCTACAGTTCTCGTACTGACACCTGAGATTTATTTTTATACTGATGTACGATGCATTATTTTCCTGCAGTCAGACTAGTTTGTTCTTTTAAGTATGTTTTTTTCTTAACATGTGTGAAAAGGAGGAGGTATTTCTGTTAGGGAGCCGATGGTCTTTCCTAAAGAAAAAATATGATAGATCAGGAAGGGAGCTTGTGGTCTTGCCAGATCCTGGTTTTGTCTGTTCAAAAAATACAATATGCAACTTAACCAAGTCCCAGCTTATTGTCAAATAAATGCTGAAATGTCATATTGACTGTGTGAAGAGACATCAACCAAGCTGCCAGTGAAGATTTATTTTTTTTTAATTGCCATCTGATGACTAACAAATCCTGATTGCTGCTCAAGTAAAACAGGTTTGAACTGATAACCTATCAGAATGTGTTCTAAAGCCCACAGTCTGTAAACCTATTCAGTTCCCTTCACAAAATGAATTTTCCAATAATCTTGAAATTTTAAGTTTTAATTAAAGTTTTAAGCATTACGTCTTCTGGTTTTATAAAGGCTTTTTAATTATATTAATAACGAAGAATGAATTGTTGCAAATAGAGATTTAGTATCTCAAGGGAACAATCAATATAGAAATACGAGAGAAAAAACCAGTATGTGCTGCAGTATATAGCAAGGGCAACAAAATTCCAGCTAGTTTTCGTTTGATGGGTACCAACAGTAACTAGAGCTGAATGCTTTCTTGGTGTTTACTCTTGTGAAGGATTAATGTTTAGAAGATGATGTGTTGACTGCTAACATCTTTTCTCTCTCTAAAGTTTGGGAAGTCATTATTCATCTGCATTTTCCTGAAGCTTTGTTTGTTATAATTATCTGTGTGCTGTTAATTCTTATGTATATTGCTCCCCTTCAGTGATAAACAGGCTGTGATTTCTGCTGCTGTTAAAGTGGAAGCAAGATGAGTTATACTTGTGTCGCTGTCAAGTACAGGTTGTGCTTATTTTGACATCTGCTTGAGATTGAAAGTGCTCTGGACATTTTTAGAGCCTTGAGTGTAATCAAGCAGAGCCATGATTGAAGGATCAAGTTGATTTTTGTTTTTTTAATCAGTCCAGCATCAAGAGTTAAAAGCATGAAAAGGAATTCTGATAGCCATTTTTAAAATTGTGTGTTATGACAGATATTAACATATAATCTCTTTTGTCTGTTGTTAGATTTATTCTCCTGATCATACCAGCAGTAGTTTTCCATCGAATCCATCAACACCAGTTGGATCACCATCACCTCTTACAGGTAGAGACTAGCCACTTGTCAATAACTTGTTTGTTGTTTTGAAAACATTAGTGAAATCAGCAGTAGCTTCCTCTTATAATTACCTGTTTACTTTCTTTGTTTTTCCATTGTACTAAACCCTGAATTATCAATCTAGACTGTTAAATATTTTGTTAGGAGCATTCTCTGAAATCCTGGCAAGTGGCTTTGAAAATTAGCTTATTAAAAGAATCTTTGAAAACATTGAGTGACTATATACTATGATAGCTATAAAGATACCTGTACGGAACTGTAGGATTGGAGATTAATAAGAGTGATGTAATTGGGTTGTGGGTTTTTTTAAAGCTCTGCAGCAGCTTTCAGTGACAAACATAGCAGATGTGTGTTTGCTCTAATGAAAATGCAGTAGGCTATGAGGCTACCCAATTTTTACACAGGATAGCTTTTCATTCATATCGTTCATGAAAGCTTTCGTTCTGTGGGAGAAGAATTTCTGGCATTTTTCAAAATAAATGCTCTGTGTTGCAGCCACCTCTGTCACCTGTGCTTTGTGTGTTTGCAGTGTGAATGTGGGAAAAAGCATTCCAGCGTGGAGATGAGCTGTGGGCAGCTGCCTGCAGCTATTAGTGGGTAGTGCAGCTTTCACAGACACCGTGGCCTCAGCTGTCTAGTAAAAGTTGAACAGCTGTTCTCCATATAGAGAGGACTGTGAAAGCTCCATTGACTTAAATTTGTTGTTTAACAAAGAACTAGAATTACAAGCAAGATGATGTAACTTTAACCCTGTTCTTTCCTATAGTTCAATTTGTTAAATTATTTAACATCTATACAAAAGTCTATTTTCCTGTTCTGTTTAATATATCCCTACAGGCTCCTGGCTGTTGGTCACTTCTATTGCAACAGCATTTTACTTTTTTTAAAAAAAAACAACAACAGCAACAAAAACTTAGAGAAAGGTATACAGAATGAGCTTAACTGAACACTTATAATCTAGATTAATAAATTAGTAAAGTTATTGCATGCAAAATGCAGTCACATACATATGTGTGTCAATGTGTATATCTATGTATAACGTCACTCGGAAAACTTTGATCATTCATACTTAGCTCGTGTTTAAAGGACGCTGTTCTGGTTTTCTGTGGACTTAATGGATTAATGAATATCTGATGTCGTGTACCTGAGCAGCTGCTTTGGGCATTGTTTTTCTATAACCAAAAATATCCATGTTGCACTGAGTAATGATGGGATTAATGGGATTTTTCATTTAGTGATTACAAATGACAAAAAATGTTTTGTATTTCCCTGTTGTACTGAAAAGGTAGATCAGACCATGAAGCTGTTGTTATTATTTTCTTTTTAACATCAAAGCAAATATTGGAAATATTTTGTAGCTGGAAAGAAAGAACGTTGACTGACATTTCGAAGTATCTAAAATTTTAAAGATCCCAATTGGAGTTCCCTGATCAACTACCACATTGAATTTTGTGTAAGCATGAAAGAACTAACTGATTTCTGATTTTAGAATACAAATCTGAGGTCCCTCAAAATTGGCTTTTCACTTTCCTGTTGATGTCTTCGTCTATTGGAACCTATATCAAATGTAAACCTCTCCAAAATTTGTGTTCCTTATTTTGGGTTTTGATGGCTAAAACATTTGCTAGATAGAAGCAAATAGTATTCTTCTCAGGCGTAAACTTAGCATCTGCTTTACAATTACACCCTTTCACCCCACCCCCCTTAATTCCAGTGATACAGAATTTATCAAGCCTTTGGTAAATTGCTCCAGTAGTTAATTACCTTCATTTATGAATCTGGACTTTTATCTTTATTCCCAGATGAGTCACTAAGAACACAGTGAAGCACAATGTAAAGTAATTACTACTATATTTATTGCTATTTATACTCCTGGTAGTCATTTTCTGTCTTGACCCAAAAAGTTATTGCAGATAAAACAAATATTTTATGTGTACTAAAATAATATATTTTGGAGCATTTTAGCCTTCCTCTTTTGCAGTTAGTTCTTCATTTATCTAACATTTTTATTATTAGAGATTTGACAGAGTCATAATTTACTTATCCTTGAATTGTAAATTATAGTAGGAGCACTCTATTTGCCATTTAAAGCATTGGTAGAAACTTCATGAGACGCTTCATGTTTGACTCTGGTTGTTATGACATTATGACTTTTTTTTTTAGTAATTGAAGTAAAAGCTTTGGGAAGAGCATGATGAGAACCCCCGAGTATTATGAGGCAATAGTGTCTCATCTTCTCTGCCCTCATTTAATTTCCTAATTTTGCATAAACATGCCCAGAGTTAAGCTTCCTGCATAGTTTTAATGATTGCGTGGATCTGAAGTTTGTGTATGGATCTGAGTGGTGGGAGCCTGGGTATTTTGAGAATCCATCTCCCGGGATCAGAGGGATTCAGAGGGTTCGGTCCGTTCTGAGGACGCCCAACCAGCCTCTGCCCCCGCTGCTAGGAGATGATGGGAGATGGGAACGTGTGTTTGCGAGAGGAGCCAGAGGATTAGTGGTGGGGAGACTCTGAGAACAGGAACAATACTGCAGTGATTACTGGTGATGACCCCTGTAAATCCTACAGTTGTCTGGCTTATTTGTTTTTCCATGCTGCTATGTTGGTGCTGCACTAAAAGCTGCAGTTGTTAATTGCGGGGCTTGTGGTGCCAGGATGCTTTTTAACATAATTGGTGGATTTCATGCACAAACTTCGATGAGGGGGAGCGGAACGAGGAGAGCAGGAAATCGGTGCCATCTGGCAACCTGTGCTGACATGGAGACAGGATATGCTCAAAGAGCAGCAGCATCGCTAGAGGTGTGGTTAAAAGCTGCAGGTTGCACTTGGGTTGTTGGTTTGAGGAGGTGTCGGGTGTTCCCTCTCCTGGTTATCTTTTTGTTTCCTTTGTGAGACGTCCCACTCAGTTTTGTGCTGGGCTTGTGTTACGGAAATAATGCCTTTTTCTGTTTAAAAAAAATCCCCAAACTCATCAGACTAGATGCACAGGCGTCAATCCATTTGCTTTCTTTCCTGAACTGGTTGCCTTTCTGCCTGATGTCCTGCTGATGCTTCGCTGTAGGAAGTGACGCACTCAGCCTTGTTAGTGGTGAGCGCTCCTTCCAGACTTGGCTGTGGTCTTGTCTCTGAAAATGGAGTTTTGACCAGACACAAATTTGAATATTACACTAAGCCAAAATATTCTAAAGTTGTTTCATTAGTGCTTTGCAAAAATAAGCAGGGCTTCAAGCATTATTCCCAAGTTCAGGAATGACAACTGTGTGGAGAGAGACTGCAGATGCAGAGTAGCCGTGTGAACTGAACATTGGTAGCTACAAACTTGCTTGCCGATGTCGTTATATTTTAAAAGAGAATTCCAGCACAGTTATGGCAGCTCTGGGCTTTTATGAAATTGGAGATGTTTGGCGGTCGGTTTTGGGTTTTGAGTTGTGGGTTTTGTTTTTTTTAATTGGAAAGGAAATATTTAGATATTTTAATAGCTATGCAAGCTGTGCTCTTTTTGTTAAATAAAACCCTTTCTTTAAAAGGTAACTACTTGCAGCTCTCCGAACAAAGGAACTGTAATGTTATTAAACCTTTTCCCAGTTTTCCAGACGTGCAGTTCTGGCTGTTATTGAAAGAACAAGCCCACAGGCTCTTCCTTTAATGAGCTGCTTTGGATTGTATGTCCATAATTTATTAATGTAATTGCTTTATTATTACATTTGTATGGCTGAAAGGAAGCTGTCTCTAATGGCCGTAGAATTTCATGTAGTATCTTTATAAAAGATGCATTATTGTTTGGTGAGAAAAATACATATTGTACTACTTCAGGCTTCGTTTTAAAAGTACTGCTTTATTAGTTATTTTATTTTACATGGTAATTAGGTATATTTATGTCAGATCAGAATAGATATGTATTTGAATTTGCAGTGTATAGGTAATAGGGATATAATTGTCGATTTGTTGCACAGTCAGTGATTCTTTAGCTGCCCGTTTATTACCTTAAATATATATGAAATAGCAAACAGGAATAACTTAGGTGTATTTACTCTCCTAAACTTGGAACGCATTATAATCTAAGATGCTATAGTGTAGAGCTAGACAAAATAAAGCTTTTAGATCTGGTTTTGTGTTTTCTTACGTAGTAGATAGGTGCCAGAAATGGGTTTCCAGTTACCCTTAATTCAGTGTCTGTTTGATTTCTTTAAGTATTTTTGTTGTATATTTTAACACTTATTAAAGATATGCCTGCACATACTGAATGTAATCTGAAGAAGAAAGAATTCAGCAATGTTTATGTGGTGACGCTGGCAGAAGGCAGGTATTTCAGATACAGTGTGTGTGTGTCCAGTCCACTTAATGTTCAAGTACTTGGAAGATGTCACTGCTTTGTCATCGATAATGTCTCTAACTCAACAAGCGCCAGGGTGTAAAAGTTATCCCTCAATAAGGCGGAATGAAAGAATTTGTCCTCCTTCGTGTGCCCATATGCTAGCTTACCTTTGTGCACAATGTGTTGATTTTAATTATGTTGAGAACTGTTGCATCTCTGCTTCCCACTTCGGCTGCATAAACCTGTGTGTTAACCTAGACAATTTTGACAGGTGCCAGTCAGTGGTCTAGGAGCGGAGGACAAGCCCCCTCATCTCCAAACTACGAAAACTCTCTACACTCCTTGGTAAGAGCTGTTGAAAGCCACATAGTACTTTTTACTTCAGAGTTGAAGGCTCGGTTTTGTATAAATCCTGCATATCATTACAGGCAACAGTAGGATAGCATTACAAATGAATTCTTTGCTAACAAATGGCCTGTTCACTTGAACAATATAAGACGTGCAGGGTGTGTCTTTCGCCATCTGTTCCTTGGGCATCAGGCTTCTGCGCCGAGGACAGCTGGTGCTAAAGCGCTGTTATGAGATTTTGGTACCTTTTCACAAATCCATAGCTAATTCTTATCTAAAGTTCAGTCTGGAGAAAAGATAAAGACTTCATGCCTGTTCATTTACGTGTCCTTCCCCCTTTCTCCCTGGAATGGCAGCCTCTTGTGCTTGTTTTCATTACGCTGCCAGGAAGTATTAGTGTATTTTATTTGTAATTATTATTTGTCACTGGGGAATGCTCAGTTATTAATTAATGAAACATTTTACAGAAAAACACACAGGAAATAATCTACAGCATCCTATATTTTCTTCTTCTGAAGATTTAACAGAGAATTTAAGTTACTGACTTTTCTCTTAAATTTCCACTACAGCATCAAGAAGGAAAGGGGAAAAAAATTGAGGGAATGTTTTGATTAGTTGATAGTATTTCTGGTCTCCATAGATGTAATTCCTTTTTTTCTGTCTAACAAGAATAAATTTTAGCTAAATCGGGTTTTTTTCTCTTCAGTATTTTTGCAATTAAATGTAGTTGATATGTACACCTTAGAATCCGAACATAACTGCAGTGTTAAATATTAGCCTTCTCTTACCTTAATATTATCGGATCTCTGTTGCATTAACTTGACTAACAATTTATTGCTGACATGCACATCAGCTGTTTCCTCACCTCTTTTTTGAATTAATCTTAACCTGTGCTTTGCTTCCTGTTCTGTCTTGACTTTGCCAGAAAAATCGAGTTGAACAGCAACTTCACGAGCATTTGCAAGATGCAATGTCCTTCTTAAAGGATGTCTGTGAGGTACTATTTCACTTTAGATGGTGCCTTTCTGTGTTTCAATTAATGCTTCCTTCGGATTCCCTGTTAAAAACTTAAATTAGTGTAGCGTGCGACCCATCTTTTTGACTCCAGCATTTTGCTATTTCAGTTTCTAGACAGCTGCAATGCCAGAATTGGTTTTGCTTTGGGGTTTTTTTGGTCCTTTCTTAAAAGGAGGACTTTTCTGCAGTAACTACAGAATTTGCTTTTATTTCTGAAATATCTAACCTGCTTAAAGACCTATTTTAGAAAAATAATAAAGTTTTTTGTCCAGTTTTTCTTGTAATACAGGTTCTCAAAACAGCCACTGCCTCTTGTAATTGTTGTTACAACATGGTGAGGCTGACTTTGATCATTCTTTCTCATCCTGTATTAGATAGCTGATTTTGTAGCCCTTCCTTTTCACTTGTTCATGCCATGTAATAGAAGCTGAGTAACATTAACCTTATAATAAGCTTCACTTTAAAAACTGCCACCTATTTGTGGAATGAATGCTATCTCAAGCAAAATCTCCAGATACCTTTTCTTTTTCCTGTTTGTTTGTAGCGCTGGTAGGTGCTTTCAGAGTCTTTTGATACCACATCTCATCTTCTGTCTCCAATATCTCTGAGGTAGAAGCTGTTAGAGTGTAACGAGTCTGGACTTACTCAGTAAGGGCTGGTCCTGTCCCTCTTGAATCCCCACAGCAGTCTCGGATGGAGGATCGCTTGGACAGACTCGACGATGCCATTCATGTGCTACGAAATCACGCTGTGGGGCCTTCAACAAGCCTGTCAGGTGGCCACGGAGACATACACAGCTTATTGGGACCATCCCACAACGGGCCAATCGGAACCCTCAACTCGAATTATGGAGCATCCAGCCTTGTAACAGCCAACAGACAAGCGTCAATGGTAATGCTGGTTTTAAACCCGGGTATATTTATGCAAAGCAATTACAGCAGATGCAGTTAAATTATCCCAGAGCCTAGTGAGTTAAAGCTGAGCTGTAAGGCTAAAATTGGTCAGGAGGACCCTACTCCAGATTCTTGTGGGGGGAAAAGATGGCAGAGGACCTGCACCTGCTATGGGTTTCCAATTAGAGGGTTGGGGTGGGGGTGGGCAGAAAGGAGGGGGAGGAGAAAGATGGGAAAACTTAGACTTTGGCCTGGTCAGTGGCCCATAAAATCCTGCTGTGACCATATGCAGAAAGCTGAAACTTTCTGCTGAGAGCATTTCAGCTTATACATGCATTTTTTCCAGATGTGTAATAATTGGCAGAACGGTCTTCTCCTTGAAATGGTGAATAGGGAGATTGAATGGGAAAAGCAGTCGAGAAGGACTGAATTTCAAGTGTTCTGGTCTGGAAAAGCTGTTTATTGTAAATTGGAACTAGTCTTCAATAGCAGATGCTGGCAGAGGACTGGGAGGAAGCTGCTGGAATGTGGAGCCATAGTGTGCGCAGGCGCAACATTTAAACTTCTTTTTTCTAAATGAAAGGAGTTTGAGCGCAGCTGTAGTGTAAGTAACAACGGAGAGGAAACAACTTTTAGATTAATCCCCAAGAAGAGAGAAATAATTCAATCCATCTCTTTCAGTTTCTTTAAAAATGTGAGCTGTTCTGAAAAAAATGTAGTTGAGCTTTTCATAGATCAGAAATATGTTAAAAGCATTATACAGTAAACAGAATCTATTCGTAGCATTGCTCACTTCTCTTTTTCTTCCTTTTCATTCCTTCGCTCTCAAAAATGCTTAGAGGAAAAAGCTTTTAAAAACATACTTATTTTAGTGGTGCCATGTGTTTGCATGTTTACAGCGTAATTTTAAAGACCAGTTACATGCTGTGAAATATTCTGTTATAAAACAGATTCACAGCTGGGTACTGTGTGATCAAGGCAAAATTTCACCTATCATCAAAATAATTAGGTACCCCAATTGCTGAAGGGTTTGTATTCTATAAAACAGAATTAGTTCCAGGCTCTCCCATTCGCACGTCACACATCAATTTATATTAATTTCAGAACCGCTGCAGCAAACATCAAAAAGAACGGGATGCTTGCTGTAAGCTGCATGTGTTTGGGGGCTTTTGCGGAGGGGGGTACTTTCCAAACATGTATCCAACTTTAGGTTTCTGTACAAGCTTACAGTTACTTTTAGTAATGAAGGAAGTGATGCATAAATACTTCAGAACTTTTTCTTAATACTGCCTTATATTTAATACTTAAACAGTGTTGTTAAAGGGAAAGCTCTACAGTATTCTGGGGTAGACTGAAGTTCAGTCATAGAAAACTTTTTTCTGCTAGGTCGTCTTGTTGTAGTATAAAGCTGAGTGACTGAAATTGTGGTGACAAAATTGTCTCTGTCTGACTTGGAGAACCTTCCGATACTGCTAAGCCAGATGCAGTCAAACGCAGATAGTGCCAAAACATACATTGAATCTCTGTTCCTCTTTTCAGCTAAGCTATGATACATGTTTTGTCGACTGGGTTTCAGTTAAAAGAGGTGACAGTGGAAAATAACTCTCCAAAATGAGTGAAGGTTCCTTGGTCTGCTGTAGTTTAATGTATTTGTGTAAGTTAAATGTAAGATAGGCTTGATTTATCATCTAATGGTTGATCTGCAGTTTTGACTGAGGGGTGCTTGCTGTCTGTTAGAAATAAGCTTTGATTAGGGAAACGAAATATTTGCTTGTACTTTGTATCTTCCCTGGGTGAAACAAGCTTGCAGATCAGTTTTGGCTTGAAAAGTGAGTCAGCTAAATAATTTCTTGGATTGACCTTGATTTTGTTACATCAGAATAATTGGCTGCAGCAGAAGGCATCCTGTCGTGGCCTTGCCCATTCCCCAAAGAGCGCCCTTTGACATCATCGGCAGGTGTCACTCAGGGAGCCCTGAGATAGGTGTGGAGCAGCAGTTGGCACATCTGGCCGTAGGGGAAGCCGAGGGGTTCACTAGCACTGGCAGCATTTCTGTAACGCCCCCCCAAGTGTGAAGTGTGATTCTTCCAGTATTCAATAATCCACTGGTTCCAAACTGTATGTATTTGCTATTTGTTTTTCTTGAAATAGTAAACATAGGAGAGCAGAGAATTTGACACGCGACCTGTACTATAAGATCTTGACTTTGTTCAGGAATTAAATACTACTTTAGAGGACCTCCAATAAAATTTAAGAAAATAATGAGCATTGGCTAACATAGTGAGAAATGTCAACACTGGTAAGGGTGTGCACCTGTATTTGTTTGACATGCTCAGTTTTTGGCTAAGAGGTGTTCTTTGGGATTCAGCACTAAATGAAACTTCCTTGTCAAGGGAGGGGGGATCTTTGTACAAAACGTTTTTGTTCTTTAGGAAAAAAAATAGAAAGAAAATTAAATTTAATTTCCCTTGAAGAAGATGATCTTGGCAGAAGGAGCTAGGAAATGAGTAATTTAACTCCTTTTTATGTAATTAGTGTAACCAGACATGGTTTTATTTTAACATTTGCTTAATTTTTGAGCCAGATTTATTTTAAAACTCTAGTTGACTTCATTTCCTGCTTGCTCTGAATGGTCTTGTTTTCTTTTTAGCTGGGCTGGCCATTAGACTTTTTCAAATAGATTTTTTTAATATCTCAAACTCATCAAATATTTGCTAAGTGGCCTTTGAAGTTGATTTGTATTTTATTTCATGTATTATTGAAAAGTTAAGAAGTAGTACTCTTTTTGTTCTTATTCAAGCTGCTTTTTATTTGTCATTGTAATACAATGGAAAAAGAACAGCCTGAATTGATTAAACGTAAATAAATAAAAGGCCTGGAAACTCAGTTAAGGATGAAACTCAATCCTTAAGTCACAGGGTGGGTTTTTTCCAGGTATAGCAGAAAACTAAGAAAATTGGTGATCTCCCTCTTTCAACCCGATGTCTGTATAAAAGCCCGAAAGGGCAGTTGGAGCTGCTCGCTGACACCAGCCTCTGCTCTTGCTCAAAGCCCTTCCAGTGCCGGTATTTCTCCCCAAAGATTATGCTCCCTCTAAACAACTCAGAGCTGCCTGAAGTGTGAAAATCTTGATTCCAAAGCCCTTTTGGTTGTGTCGCCTTAGCTGAAATGATGTTAATGACCATGGCCAAATTGACCAGCTATTATGGCTTAAAAAGTGCAGGTATTTTTATGTGTGCTTAGGCAAGTCCTGTAGCAAATACCTGGGGGGTTTAGGGTTGAGGTTGGGTTTTTTTCAGGTCTCAAAAGCTTTTATTGCTAAGAGTTCAAAATTAATAAAATGTGAGATGCAGAAGCAACGTTAAGAGGACAAAGGTTGTCCTTTCCCCCACATGTCTTTCTCGGTTCTCCTGTACGTGTCATCAGTTGCCATGATTTGTCTAGTTGCCAGAGGTATTTAACTGGTTTTCTGTTTCAGATCCCAAATATTATCCCTTAAATCAACTGAACTGAGTTCTGCACTCTTTTTTTTTTTTTTTTTTTTAAGCTTACAAGTCTGAGTGTGGCTGCAAGATGTCTCTGCAGGTCTTCCTTGAAATGCATAAAAATAAGAACAGTTCACCTGGTAAATTACAGCAACTTAGTCTTATGTACAGGACGGCTAATTTTCTCAAGCTCTCATCTTACTGAGATACAACTTCTTTGATTTGCTGGCAATCCTAAATAGTAATAAATTTAGATATATAGAGAAAATGCACAAAGGATTTAACTGTTTCTAACAAATGCAGTGTCTATGCTGATCGTTTCTCTGATTTTTCTGAAATATTTTGCCTGTGCGACTGAAAATGTTTTATGCTGTGTGTTACGGGTCCAGCCTTTCTATTTGGCTTCCATTTTGTGTGCCAGAGGAGTGTTTAGGGTTCACTTAAGAGGGAACATGAAAATGAGGCTAAATTAGCTCATGAAAGAATGAATTAACCCCAAGTTTGTTTGCTTATAAAATTAAATGCCGCAAGTCATTACTAGCAGAATACTAGCATTGTAACGGACTGGTTCTTGAACAGCCTAAGGATACAGGAATCGGAGGCCGAGGTGGGGCAGGGGTTTGGGGGTGCCCAGCTGTATGCTAATGCACGCCCGGGGGAGCGGCTCTGCCGGGGAGGGAGAGAAAGGAGAAATGTGAGCGGGAGGAGCGGCTTAGGTGGGGAGTTGTGCTGAAAGGGTCCAGACCGGGCTGCCGGCTCCTGCCCCGGCCCGGGGGCCTTCAGCACCGCTTTACAAATATTCCACAGGTATTTCACAAGCACTTCTGTAACGGGGATGTTTATAGTGCCCTGATGCCTGAGGAGAAGCTGCCCCTGGAGCTGGACATGCACCGACCGCCCCAGTCACCCTTAGTGCTAGGAAGTCATTTGACTGAGAATTACTTATAAATAATCGTAATAAAACATGTCGCAAGCCTGTTTGTTCTGAAGGCCGTGGAGCTGATGGTACAAAATGCCTTTCAGAAGACTTAAAGGTAGCCCAAGGTTGCGCCCCATTGAAATGCAGATGGAGAGAGTCTCTTGTTCTGTGAAGTGGGAGTCGGAAAGAAAAGAAAACTGAATTTTCTAAACTCCATGTTTAAGACACCGAAAATATGGGCACGAGCCCATATCATATGGGATACGGGGACTCTGAGTGAGTCTTTAGGTTTGGGGGGGTTTTGTTTGTCTCTTTTTTTTTTTTTTTTTGTTTGGATCTTCTGGTACATCGTGGATCAGAGATCAAAATTCATGTTGTGGCCAGTTTTTGTAACACTGCAGCTCCTAAGATTTCTGTATAGATCTTGTTAATCTAAATTGTATGCTCTGAATTTGTAAGCCGGTTTCAAGGGACTGCAACAAGGACGAATTCAGTTTTTATTTCTAATTATTTTCTGCCTTTATCAGAATTGATTTGCTAATCTATCCCTTTTAGATTAGCTCTAGATTTGAAAGTTGCCAGGCTTCTGGCAGCTGCTATGTTTGTACACAGCTTTGAGAAATTTTTGCCTTTTTTAAGAAGTAGATTTGGAACAAACCCGGCCCTGAAGTGATTAATTGTCTGTAGCTTGAATGAAAGCACCCTCATGTGTTAGAACTAAGCATGACCAGAAGAATAAAAAAAAGCACAACCTGCGGGGCAGAAACAGGGAAAAAATCGAGTTTGGAAGCTGGGTGTGGAGAATGAGTTTCACATTCCCATTTTAAAGAGTTTTGTCTTGTAGGCTGGGAGAGCCGGGCTCCGCTCCTTGCCCCTGGTGAATTCACGTCACTCCCCAGAGCCGAGGCGACTGTATCCGTAGTAGAACTTCTCACAAACAAAGCCTATTACACACAAAGGAAGATAAAATATGCTTTAAATAGCAACAGATATTCCGCAGTATACAAGAGGAGATTTTATGCAGAACAATAGATACAAATAGCAACCCGGAATGACCTGATACTGGTTGTGGGTAGTCGAGGGGGGGGGGGGGGGTTCCCTCCTTTCTTTTCTTGTTCCTGTGCGTTAGCTTACAGGAACAAGTGTATATTAAACAAAGGATAAACTTGCATAAGGGTATTTATCTCTCTCTGGGTAAAACCCATACTAAGACATGAAAGGTAAAAGCTGCATTAATTACTCAAGAGGGATTCAAAGCTCAGCAGTTTACTAGGATTGAAGGATTTATTGAAAAACAGTGGTTCTCATGTGTAACTCCAGGCAATAAACCTATTTAATTAAAGGCTTAATCTTCTGGTTGACATGTTTGCTACTGTTCCAATAAAAAGCTTCATCTGTAGCCAATTTTTGTAACTATACAAATAATGGTAGAATCCCTCATCTTTGTTCAGTTTTTTTAACTGTTTAATTGTATTATGTGGGTTATTTTATAAATATTTAAAGGAGTTTTCTGTCTTTAAGAATCAAAAGCTTTAAATAGTCTGTGCTCCGAATTATTTAAATACAAGGCAGTGTGTCTTTACTGCTTCCTTTTTCAAACAAAAGAATATTCTTCTGTATAGAGGTTGGCACTGGTAACAGTATTCTGTACCGAGCAGCAGTTTTTTAACTAATTTGCCTCTTCAAGCTAGGTGTGTGCACTCATAGCTGTCTTATGTAAGTATCATTAATTCACGTTTATGTAAGATAAGAATTGTCTGAAGATACTTCATATCCGTGCTTGCTGCTTAGAAATTCATTTGCGATGTATTATGAAGGAGCTGATTAGAAAGTACCGAGAGAGGTGGTAAGAATAGCTAGACACCTGGATTATTTTGGTATGGTAAGATTCTGTAATGGGACTAAACTAAATCTATTTAGCTGAGAAAGGAGAAAAATGAGAGAGAATTATCAAAGTGAATAAAATTATATTTTGTTATTACATCTGTTTCTTAATCCTGTTGCAGCAAACAAGAAGTGAGATATTACTTATATGTTCTATAAATACATACCTGCACACAGAAGTGTGGGGCGGTACACACAGCTTTCACAGGTGGTGTTACTTTCTTTTAAGGATCACAGCGTTGCAGGTACTAGAGTTGTAATAGTTTAAAGCAAAGGTTAATCGAATCTTTACACCCCTCAGGTTTAAATCAAGGAGAAAATTCTGTAGTGTTCTGTGGGAAAACATGGAAAAAATGTTTGCGAGGTTGGGTTGCTACGTTATTCCAAACAGGTGTTGGTCACCGCTTAAAACACAGCTTAATCCAGTATGGCGTAATCAAGTGGTTTAGTGTAACAGCATCTTTCAACTAAATCTTTCCTTTACTGAGCCAGAACTTTAACTTAGGTCTCTAATCCAGCAAATACTTTAAGTCTTTTAAACTTCTATTTTTGGACTATTTCTCTGAGTCACATCTTTAATAGAAATGCTTGCTTTGCTTTGCTTTAGGTTGGGACTCATCGGGAAGAAAGCGTCAGCCTCAACAGCAACCATTCAGTTCTTCCCAGTACAGTTTCTGCTCAGAGCACAGAACTAAATCATAAAACACAAGAGAGCTACAGAGGTAACTTTCCAGCAATACTAAGTGCTGAACAGGATCTGCAATAATCCAGAGCCAGGGAGGCTGTAGATCTTGGTAAATTTGCATCAACACGGGGGATAGGAACATAGATACTGCTGAGAAATAAAAAATAAGAGATCCTATAAACCACCACTGTTAGGGATTTCTGCCACTGTTTTGAGGGCACCCTACGTCAGACATGTCCCAGTGTCGTTTCAGCAGAAGAGTCTGCATTACAGCCGCATTCTTCTGTCTTAAAGAAGCTGTGATGCCCTCAGCAGCGCTGCTGCCCTTGCCCAACCAACTAGGAGGGTTGCAGCGTGAGCTGAGGCCAGTTTCAGTGTAGCCAATAAAAAGTTGTTCCACACAGGTGTTTACAGTTTGCTCGGTTTTTAGCCTAAAGTGGCAAGCTCTAGAAAACAGAGGTCAGCTTATTCGTTAGCCTGCATGCATCACGCAGGGAGATGGTGTTGCACATTTGGCCTAAGCCCAAGCCCCAGTGTGAGTGCAGCCCTGCCCTTAAGTTTGCAGCCCAGACATGAGGTGCAAATGTCCTTACTTTGCTAAATGTCCTTTTATAACAGTGTTTTTCTTAGATTAAGCTGTTACTGACCAAGCTGCTCGATGAATTATGCCCCCTTTAAAGCCCATGTCACGTGTCCAAGTACAGCAGCGTTACCGGCGTTTCTCTGGTTTCTGTTGCCAGCGTGTAGTTCCTCCTGACTTCTGCTCAGCTCTGGCCTCCCACAGCCAGCATCTGCTTGAGAGTCTCTTAGGTGTTTGGCTGCCGTGGTGCTCACACTGATCTCTGGTTGCATTTGCAGCACTGTCGGGTGGCTTGCAAAGCCAGTCTGTGGCTATAGGTCCAGCAGAAATCAAGTCTGAGCATAAGGAGAAGGATGAAAATATACATGAACCTCCCTCGTCGGATGACATGAAATCAGATGACGAGTCCTCCCAGAAGGATATCAAGGTCTCATCTCGAGGCCGAACAAGGTGGGTTGCTGACGTGACCTGGAGAACTGGTGTTAGTTAATGCTCTGTAGCATGTTGACCTTGAGACTGACACATTTATTTCAAGGCGTTTGTGTTACCTCAGTGCATGTATCAATAGGCAGCTGAAATAGATTAACAGTTTACAGTATTTGCCTCTCCTTAAATACAAGATAGAAGATTTTCTAGGAAAATCACCTGAAAAGTGTGCATTTCCATACGTTAGTGCCTTGCCTCATATCTGCTTGTACATGTAAGCAGTGAAAGATGGAGAGGGCTTCAAGAGGCAATGCCTTGCCACAGCTTTTCCTAGAGATATTTACCATCTGTAAACAATGTTCTGGGAGTGTTCTTCAGGCAGAAACCATTTAACCTTTATTTTCAGGCAAAAGCAGGAACAGCAACAATTACCGTGAATACTTAAATACTGATATCTAATACTGTCTCAGTTATCTAAATATATTTCATTATGAAATTCTGGACCAGCAGTAGGATTGCTTGTTTGCAGTAGCAGTGGTATTTCAGTGTACTTTTATTTGTACTTTCTTGCAGCAGTACTAATGAAGATGAGGACTTAAACCCAGAGCAGAAAATAGAAAGAGAAAAGGAGAGGAGAATGGCAAATAATGCTAGAGAACGTTTGCGTGTACGAGATATTAACGAGGCATTTAAAGAACTTGGCCGTATGTGTCAGCTTCATCTGAAGAGTGAAAAACCACAGACGAAACTGCTTATTCTTCACCAGGCTGTGGCAGTCATCCTCAGTCTAGAGCAGCAAGTGAGAGGTCAGTAGCCCGGCACCGTGCTGTGCCAGTCTGCGCGGTAGCTCTGTTCGTGCAGCACTGTCGGTCTCTTGAAATCTGTACAAATAAAGGCAGAAGAAGCTCTTTAGGAAAAGCAAGAAGTTGCAGGGAAGAAGGTGGACATGAGGTTTATACTTTGATCTTTCTTTTTCCCTGTGCAGTTAGCCATCTTTTCGTCTGTGTTTTCAAGGTAGATTGGTTAATTAAAATACTGGCACATCTTGCTCTAACAAGCATTTCTTTAGTAGTACGAAAACTTCGGCAAAAATAAGAGATCTGGTTTAGGATGAACCCCACGTAACTGGAATACTCAAATGCAGTCAGTTTAACTGTGTATACTTAGGGTTTTGCATTAAACATATACTGGGGAGGAGGGAAGAAGCATACTTCAATTGAGTTGGGGCTGGTTTTGTGTGTATTTGCTTTCCCCAATTCCTTTTTTTGTTTCCATTAAAGAAATACTAAGCCAACTGATATGTGCAGAAGGAAGAATTGTTTGTGCAGGTCACTCTCTTAAGGAGAGATAGTTCTAGGAATCCCGTTTTTAGTTCTTCAATTGTTCCATTCTCAACTGTTGGTGAAGCTACAGTTAATCTCCCTTTACACTTGTGCCAAAGACACGTTAAAGTTCTGAGGCCCCTCGCTTTAACGTCTGGTCAGCCCCGAGCTGCTCAGGCAGTTGGACTGCCTCATCGGTGCAGGCCCCTTCCAACGGAAACGCTCAGTTCTGTGTAGCTGGCACTTGAGCGGGTGAGCGTCCTCATCTGTCGCTGGGCTGGGCTAGTGCAGAACCGGGGCTGTCTCAGTGCCAGAAGCACATCAAGCGACTGGCAAAGTCCTTCAGATGTGGGTGGTGTCATCGGTCATCTTTGCCGAATGCGCTACACACGTCCTTGAATCACTGGTGTCCCTGAATGATGTCAATGTTTTGGTTTTGTGTAACTTGTTTTTACTTCCATTTCCTGAGCTGTTGCTTGCATTTTGCAGGGAAATCAAAGCAATTCTTAAAAGTTAATTGAAAGAGACAAAGTGAATAACTTAACACAAGCTTGTGTACTTTGTAGTAGGGATGAGATGCTGTGTTTTCAGGCAATTTTTTTAATCTTTAAAAACAACTGAGTCCACCTCTTGCTCTCACAGATTCTGTAATCCACAGAAATCTCTGTGTGAAAATTAATAGAATGGCTTTTGTCTTGGTCAGAGGTTGCTTCTGTACCTGATGGTTCCTGTGGAAATATTTTTCTAAACGTACTTAGAATTAAATTGGGCCTCTTGTACAGGCAGTGTAAGTGGAGAGCTTTTCCTTCCTCACATTTCCATCTGGCCTTTTCTACTCTGTGTTTGAGGAAGCCTGTCAGTAGCACACCCTGCCGCTCATGAGAGGGGCTGGCTTCCCTGTTTCATCTCGCCCGTCTTTCTTTGCACCTGCTCCTGAGAGCGAGTGACCGGAGCTTTGTGTGTGCCCAGAGGAGCTTTCACCAGTGCATTATATAATTGCATAAACAATTCCCTCTTTCTGCTGGTAATGAAGCTTCCCATTTTGTGATTGGTGCTATTCAAAACGAAATGTTTCAGAATTTTAGCTCTAACTGTAGGCTAGTTTTTATCTCTGCTTCCTAAATCACTGTAAATTAACTTCCTTTCAAATTTCCACATAATCAAATCATCTTTAGAACTCCCAAGGCAAGCCACATTTAAACAAAGAAAACTCTGATTAGACTTGTTGAGACCACTCATCCTTAGGAAATGCAGTAGGAGGTTGTTGCTAATTCTGCTTTCTCCTGTGTCATTATCAAGCCTGTCCAAAATTGCTTCTGTCAGATTAGCTCCCTTCCACCCCGTGTAAAATGCACAGGGGTCAGCAAACTGCAGGTACTAGAGGGGCACCTCTACAAGAGAAGGGCTTGTGCTGCCTGTTCAGTTTTGGCAGTCCTGCTTACAGTTAGAATTGTATCTGCGATCTTAAACTGCAGAGCAGACTCACCTGACAGCTAGAAAAATACCTCAGAATATATATTAAATTAAACATGCGCTGGTGGAATCCATTACACACTTCTTGTGTGTCTTTTTGGCCATTGCAATTTACATCTTTAATATTTTGGTTCAAGAAAAGCCATTCTGAAGCATATAAATAGTTGACTTTTAGAAACTGTCATTTTTTTAAAAAAAACAACCTAGATCCAGATCCTCATCTCTTGAAGCTAATTGGCAAAGGGGAAACATGCTGTTGGAAGCATCTTGATAGCCAGTTCACCCCTGGCTGTTACAAAGTACTGACCTAAGTGTAAGAGGAAGTACGGTTAGAAAAAAAAATAACCCTTCCGCTTTCTGTGACAGTCATCATATTCTTTTGATTTAAGCGAGATGGGCACAAGATGATTTCACAGACTTAAGGGTACGAAGAAAACTGTCAGTTTAGAGTATTCCACCTCCCCTGTTCTAACAGCAGGCTAATACTTAAGGTGAAGAAAGAAGCAGCAACATTACTGAAACTGGTGTGATGTCGGTAAGGTTGGTGTGACTTCATCATACCAACAGAATAGAGAAATCTATGGTTTATTACATAGTAAATTAGACGCAGTTCTCGTTTGGAACTTCAGCAACTTCTGGTGAGAAAGCACTTTTTTAAAGGTTTTTAGAAGATATGTGTAGGCAGCTAGTGCAGCTTGTGGTTTGTTTTTCTTAAATACCTTGTCAGGAGATGCCTCTGGGACTTAGAGTAGTGCTTGCCTGCAGCTCTAGTCCCCCGCATTTTAACACAGGCACATAAGGAGTTGGAAGAGGGAAGCCTTGTGGATATTTTTCACGACAGTGGTTAATATACTGATGTTTCCCTTGGTGTATGAGATGTTAAGAATCGTTTTTCTGTTACAGAGAGAAACCTAAACCCTAAAGCAGCCTGCCTTAAGAGAAGGGAAGAAGAAAAAGTTTCTGCCGTATCGGCAGAGCCGCCAACACCACACCCAGGAAGCCACCCTGGCCTGAGTGAAACTACCAACCCTATGGGTCATATGTGAACACCAGCCAGGTACGTCTCTTCTCCAGAGGGGAACGGCTAAAATTTGGGAGATCTAGATATGTTTGTGAGTTGGTGAGATGCTGCTAGCGCCGGCCCCTTATGCCGCTAAGTACTTTCCTATCTCTGAGCATAAGCAAGAGAGTGTGCAGATGTGGTTAGTTTTGTAATAAAACCCCAAGAAATTGTCGTTGAAGTCTCTGTGTTCCTGTGCGTTGTTGCCAATGGCTACATCTCTTGGCTCAGGTGGCTTTCTTGGCATGACATCAGAGGAGTAGTTAACAGCTTGCTAGATAAGCCAAGCATAATAGTGATGAATTATACATCTTCAAATGGTCTAAATATCACATTAGTTCATTTAAAAACCCATGTATTGTTTCCCAGCGCTGATAAAAACCCTTCAAGAGATTTCTTATCTCAAAGAGATTTGCTGCGTGGCTTAAGGCTCAGTCACTCTAGCTCATGTCATCTGCCCAACGGAGATCACTAACTATCTTAACTCACAGTCTGTATTAGTGAAGATAGTTAAGATTTCAAAAATAATGTTTTTGGCTTTGCGCAGTAAATCAGTGTTTCAAAAAGCCCCGTGTAGTCCAGTACACAACAGTTCGTTTAAAACATTCTGATGGGGAGGCCTTACAGGAATGTTAGGGTTTTTGTTTTATTTTATGTTGTTGGCTTTTGTTTTAAATAATTGGGAAAAGCTTGGTTTTGAAAAGAGAAAAATTCTGAGTAGTCCATGTCTTTTAAAAGAGAAGAGCTGGTGCTGCTTTCAAAAAAAAGTCAGAGATTGGGTTCAGTGCCCTTATTTTAATCCACAACTTTACTAAAGTTTATGTTTTGGGAGGGTTGCTGTGTATATAGACTATTCTGCTTCTGTTTTAGCTTAAGGTGAAGGCATGCATCTTGCCTGAATGTGTCCTGGGGAAGTTTTATTATTCCCTGGCGTTCCTTAGAAGCAGCAAAATGACATTTAAACCAAGCCTTACTCGAGTCAGTTTTTCCCTATCCCTTATAGGCAGCTTTTTTTTCCCAAAACAAAACGGGTTTTCTTTTTAGGGAAAAGAAGGTGCTTTGATTTTCCTGAATTTTTATTTCATACCAGCGCAATAGGCTACTTCTAAATTGTCAGATAATTCTTGAATTACAGCACCCTCATAGTCTGTCCTTGCCATATTAACACAATGAATCACTTTGAAAAGTTTATTATATATCATTGCTTTTTAAGAGCGATAACGTCACAAGATGACTCAAGTGTCACATAGACACAGAAAGGCTGTGCAAGCCCATTATGTACGTGGCACTGTGCACCTTCAGCAGTAACGATTCCATGTGGCGCTATCTCCTGCTTATTTTAGAGAAAAAAGTCAAACTCAGAGGTTTGAGATTTGCAGATTATTCTTTCTTCCATATCCAGAGAGTCCAAATATATTGAACAGCTTACTCTCAGGAATGTTCTGTCCCATTCAGTACGGGTATCACGGGGCACAAGGATTTCAAGGCCTCTCAGTGTGATTTTCTTTTGTCCTTAACTGGCTGCAAATGCAGTAAGATACAGTTTAAATTAGTTCTGTGGTGTCAATACTTTGCGTCTTACTGATTATCTTTCCTAATACCCCTTTCTTCCAATTTTTTTCTAGAATTCCAGAATTATTGGTAGGATACACAGGTGACCTTTCTTAACAAGGACACAGACAACTAACGTTACATGAAGACACAAACCTGACAGGAGAAAACACTTGAAGCAAGAAACCCAAATGCAATCTTATGATCAAAGCTACTGGTCAACACCTGCATCAGGAGTGAAGATACACGATCTTCAGATAGAATTTCAGCCCGTGAAATACTCTGAACATATCATTCTGTTGCAAGCAGTGTGTCGCTTCTGCACAATCAGAGACTGTTGTGATCTCTCCACTCATTGTGGAAGTTGCCTTGTGCCTAAACTGAATTGACAAATGCATTGTAACTACAAATTTTATTTATTGTTATGGAACTGTAAAGGTCTACATATAAAGGGAAAAGTTAACATGTTAAAAGCTGATAAAGTTTCAGCTGGATGCCAGCATTTACTAAAGCTGTTCACATTCAGAGAACAAAGCAGTGACAACCGTCGACCCGTAGCATTCCCAGCATACCTATTAGTGTCTTAAAAAAGGAAGGGAAAAGTCTTTTGGTGTCCTTTCCTCTCCTTTTGCCATATGACTAGTGTTTTCCATGCAATAGGAAACTATTCCTTGGTATAGCTTTTTTTATGTTATTTTTGGTCTCTGGTAATCTGAACAGTTATGGTCGTAGTTACCCTTCCACGCTGAGCTCCGTGCTTCGAGCCCAAAAGAGGCCTTGTGAAGGCTGCAGGCAGGAGCACTACTGTGACCATAACGTTTCTTGGATTTAAAAAGTGATTTTTATTTTCCCTCAGACTTTCCTCAAACATGTTTTTTTTCTAATTATAAACAAAACCTTTTTAGGCTTCTAGGCTTCATAGTAAAGCTTGTAACGTGAAGTGTAAATTGGGTGGGGAGAATCTACTTTGTTAGAGTTGCTTTGTTTTCCGAGCAGTAAGTACTACATATAGTACATGTAAAGTGTTAGCTGTACGTAAGCACAAAATGCATTAAAATACAAAGGAGATTTTTTTCAGGCTGTAACTTTGGTGAATAGTAAAATCCTAAATTCACCATGGCAGGTAGTGTGATGATATAGCCACCAGTAAGGTGGGCTTACTTACCTAATGGAATATAAGAGCAATGGTCACCAGTTTTTCCTTACTGTATACATTAATTATCTTGTCATTTTTGTATGGCTTGTCAGTGGAGAGAAAAAAGAATCGTGTGAATCAAATGCAAGCAAGTGACCCCCTCCCAAGCCATATGAGCATTAAACCTTTAAACGTTTCTCCACCGGAACAGTGTCCATAAGTATTCCTTTGTCACAGACGTGCTGAAGTGGTTAAAATCCCTTTGGACTTCCATGGAAACTGTCTTCCACTGCAATGACCATGGGAGGAAAGGTCCCAAGCCAAGGTTGTCTGAGCTATTGTTTATATTGTGCATCTTTCGCCACTGGCAATTGGTTCACACACAAACCAGGAACAAACCAGTGATTTTTATCAAGTGATTTAATTTGAAAGAACAAAAGATGGATTGTTAAAATAAACTAATGAATCTCAGCTCATGTTTTGGATGGTTCCTAACAAAACAGTTTGTGGAATTAGTGGACTCATTTTGATTACTTTAATTTGCATATATCATCAAATAACACCTGATTATATCTGTGGCCTTGTTCTTCATTTCAGTGTTTATCAGCTAAACAAATTTGTTGCTTATGACGTGTGAAAGTGATCACGTGCCACTGCCTGGCCTTTTTCCTTCTAAGCTTGTTGTCTTTTTGGCTATATTAGACTTTGCAGTATGCCCAGAAGCTTTCCTTCATAAAATAGAAAGAAAAAAACATTTGGCTTATTTTTCACTGTAGCTAGTCTTTTATACAATAATCTTGTAAGAAAATTTCTTGAATTCTAAATATTACTCTTTCTAGATTTTTGAAATCGAAAAAGTTTTCAGTAAAAAGTTTCTTACTTTATTTTACTATATTAGGTAGTAAAAATGTAGGGTTATTTACCATAACCTGTTCATTAATATCAGAAATTTACAATAGCATTGTAAGACCATAGTAGGGTTCTAGCATACCGTGTAGTACCTATGGAGTATTGTAAGAGCTAATTGTCCGAGATGAATTGCTTCTCATCTTGTTCTCCAGTTTCCATTGTTGGTTTATTGCAGATTTGTACCCTGTGTCAAATTTCAAGGTATTGCTGATAAACCTTTCCAACCAGCAGCAAGAAGTTCAAAAAAATTTCTGTCAATGTAACAGAAAACACTATGTATATAACATTTATGTAGCAATAAATGTGCCATCTTTTTTTAACATGGTAAATCAGTGAGTTTTTTAAATTTCTCTCTCCTCGTAGGTAACGCTTTGCTTGAAAAACACCGGCAAAACCATCTTCCGCCTTTATCTGAATAAAACTTAACATATGTTCTCAAGGTACTCAGCGTAAGCTGCAGGTGCAAGAAACATTGGCGCCAATTCCTGTGAAGCCAGCATGGGAATTGGCAGCGAGCTGCGGAGGAGCAGTACCGAACCTGCGCCTGCTGCTGCGCGGAAGGGGCACTGCACGGGAAATAGCAAAGTGGGAGCCGAAGCTGAGCCCGTAGGCATATGCCTCTGGTCCTTAAGTCACAGGTCTGAGGTCTGAGCCCCTTCTGTGCATTGGAGTTCAGTGCTGAGTTACTTCTGAATTGACTGATGCATCTACGCAGGCATTCAGCAAAAAAGAGGGGAAAGGAAAAAGGTCCATAGCTTAAGCCTGAAATTAGAATTTTAATTTCTTCTACAACTTTACTTTCTGCAACTGCAAACAATAGAAAATGGAAGTGTATGGTGTCCGAGGCACATACAGACAGTGGTGAAATCTTCGTGCGCTTCCTACTCCACAACTGCTTACACAAAAAACCTCAAGTAATAAGCAGACTGTGTAGAAGCTTGAGTTTTTCAAATCTTCTCTAAATAAATATCCCTAGTAAAAGCACGTCAAAGACAAAAGCAAACAGAGATACTGTATTCGCAAAGTTGTGATATTTACGCGACCGTGGTGTACGTCAGTCGGCGTGGCTGCTGGGTACTGCAGAGTTTCCAGCTCTTGATGCTGTCCTTTGTAACCTTAGAAAATGATTGCGCTGAGATCCAGTTGACGTTATAAAAGACTCATCAGCATGTGTACACGGGCAAGGTTTTGTAATATGCCAGCACTTCTCCCGCAGGCAAATCTCTAACATGGTCTGGCCATACGTAGGAGGCGAGACTCGGCCTGGCTTTAGGAGCAGCAGTGGGAGAAGAGCCCTGGTCAGTTCTGACTTACTCCGGTAAGAATTCTAAATCCAGCCTTTGCACATCCATCACTACTCCTCTCCTCTTCTGAACGACACCTACGATGTTTATTGCTTCTTTCAGAGTGTGTAAAAATGGTATTTTCCCCTTCTTTGTGCTCTCCTGTTTCTATATACTTTCTGATCACAAATCCATCTTTTTTCTTTTTTTGTCAAGTTTTCTTTCTTCTCCATTTACTCTTTTTTTTATGTGGAAGAGATGCATGTTGGGATACCTTTGTTAAATGCAGGCCTGCTAGAATGAGCATTTGGAATATTGGAGGAAAGCTCTCCTGTAAATCTAAAGCATTGGGAAAGGCCTAAAATGGAGCGCATGTGAGTTAATGGTTTCCCAAGAATTAATCAACATTAACATTGTCCCTTTTACAATCTGGAAATCATGGCATAACAAAAATAAAATGCGACAGTCTGTAAAAGCCCAGATGCTGGATGGTAAACTTTGCTTTTTCTTTGTAACACTAATACCTTACGCCTTCTAATGTCCCTAACCTGTGGGTACTAAAGTGCCCTGTAAAGGGAAGAAATAATTTGTCCCAAGTTTAAAGCCCGGCAAGAGTGACTTGGGCTGAAAAGTAGAATCGCTGAACAGAATTGGTTCTGTTCAACTCCAACTGGGACATTTTTACTGAAGTTAACCCTGCCGTCAACCTGGGTGCCGTTGCAAAATGAGTTTATTTCCTGGTTAAGACTCGAATGTGCTGTTGAGCTGATGCCGCAGGTAACTGCCCAGGCACCTTGGTGTGAGCTCAGCCAGGTCAGCTGTTTGGTTGCAGTCACCTGGATTGTTTGTATTGGTAACAAACTGCACAGACCTGATCTTGGGCTCTGACGTTGTAAACTGTCTAGGCTGTAAACAGAATCCCTTTCAATTCTCTCCTAATCCTGGCTTTTCAAATGTTTTGATGCAATTAACAATATTGCTTAAATAAAAACATTTTAAAATAAAGTCTTAAAAAAATTATACCAAGTACCAAATGAGATAAAAATCTCTCTCAAAATGTTGACCAAAGCTGATCCTGGAGGGCAGATCTGTTAGAAAGTCAGTGGCTGAGCTAAACACTTGGAATTCTGTTTATTTAACTGGACAAACAAGAATACCAAGGCTGTTTCATTTTCTGGAGAGATCCAGTGTATTTTTAACAGTATCACCTAAATGTATAGACACAAAAGCAATTAAATACAAAGTACTGCCAACTCTGATTGAACAAATGAGGAAATAATTTACAATATAACTCAACATTCAGTCTGCGTTAGAATTAGAGCCCTGCTAGTCCTGGTCTTCAGAAAAGCATGAGAAACCTCTGCAGATCCTATAGCTGGAGCTACCTCTTTCCATCAAAGCTCTGAATAACATATGAAGTTATGTTTGTTCTGGAAAACGCACCAATTCAGCTCTTAAAAAAAAAAAAGAGGGAGGGAGGGGAGGAAATTACTCAAAGCAAATGGACATGGCATTAAACCTGAATAGAATGAGGACAACAGTGTCAAGTTAACTTGTTTATGAGCCTTTTTGGCCCTGTCTCATTTTTGTGCTGAGGCTTTTTCTGTCCCCCCTTCACTGAATTTTAATGGCAAAGGAAGACTTGGAAAAGCCAGATTAGACTGATTTGTTAGTTTGCTAGATAATTTATTTATATACAAGTAAATTAAGTGGTACCTTGTGCTCATGGAAGTTCTGACACACAGTGGTGCATTAAATGCACGTTCTCTCTCCAGGATGTGAAAAAAGGAAAAAGCAACACTTGTGGAATTTTAGGAGGCTAATCTTTTATATTCAAATACAACTAAAAAAACTTGAATGAGTCTGTAGCAATCATTGTAAAAAAAATTCTTCAAACATGAGGTTTTAAACTCATCTGTAGAATGAGGTGTCTGAGGAGTATTGCTCTGGATTTTACTCCCCAGACAACTGTTTGCTGCACAACCAGCCTCCCAAATCATTTTCTCTGACTTCAGAAATAACTACATTCAAAATCAGATTAGATCTTTGGGGCATTTGTGGGCTTGGTGTTTACTGTATCAGCCTTATTCACTCAGATAGAATCTTGATGTGCTAGAATGAAAAATCCCCATCTCAAAATACTGAAAACTCTGTAGGAGACAAAGATAGATATATAGATATATAGATAGATATATATATA